TTACTCTAAGAGGAAAAAGATGTTACTTTTTTAAATCTTTAGAAAAGCTACTCTGCAAAACTACTGTATGGCTTTTGAAATTAGGTATTACAAAGTTCTACAATAAACTACAGACGTCATGTATAGGAACATGTTGAGAAAATAAAAATCAATCTTATCATCGAAAATAAGTAATCTTGTTCAATTATTAGTTTCTATTTTCTCATTATTCTGGTTATCATTATTCACAAAGATTTTCTGCAGATTTTCTAGAATTACTATTGAAAAGACGACTGAAGAATTTGAAGAAATCTGCGAATAAATTAAAAAAAGATAAGAAATTCAATATAATAATGAAAACGATATAATCGATTTTAGCATTGACTTATTGACAAATTTCTATTGAGAAATATGTTTCGAACCATCTAATTAGATTACTGTATAATTTTTACTTTATTTTTCGTTGTCGTTATTTAATAATTAAAAAAAACTAATTCTGAAAACGTATCCACCCCCAAAGTAGGAGTTTTTAACATCGAATTTGCGCTCAAACTCGACTCAAAGAAGTTCGTGGTAAGATTTTGATTCTACTGGAGACCACCAAAGGGATTTTATTTTCACTGGAGGGGTTTGAAAAAATGCTTTTTACAATTTAAAACTTTAGGCAGGGTAATTTACATTCCACTGGAGGGATTCAAATATCATTCCAGGGGGGGGGGGTTATAATTCCATTGGAGGGATTGATATCCTTCCTAGGGGTTTATAATTCCACTGGAGGGATTCAGATATCCTTCCTGGAGGTTATAATTCCACTGGAAGGATTCAGTTATCCTTCCAAATGGTTTATAATTCCACAGGAGGGATTCAGATATCCTTCCTGGAGGTTATAATTCCACTGAAGGGATTCAGTTATCCTTCCAAAGGGTTTAAAATTCCACTGGAAGGATTCAGATATCCTATACCTGCAGTGGTTATAATTCCACTGGAGGGATACAGAATATATCTTTCCAAGGGGTTTATAACTCAACTGGAGGGATTCAGATATCCTTCCTGGAGGGTTATAATTCCACTGGAGGGATTCAGTTATTATTCCTGGGGGTTTATAATTTCACTGGAGGGATTCAGATGTCCTTCCTGGGGGTTTTATTTCCACTGTGGTGTAAGCTTCAAGGGGTGAAAAATAGAGATGGAAACATTTTTTTAAAAGTATCTGTATTTTCATAGGATTTATTGCACAAATAATGATGAAGGCAGTATTGATTAAAGCTTTATTAAGGAGCCTTTTATTAGTTTAGGGCAAAAGTTTTATTTTTTTTTTCATATGATGTAATAATACTTTAATGGAATACATGTGTAATTTCAAGTGACCCTCCATTTATAGAGAGGCATGTCCAATGGATCTTCATTTTTCCATTGTTTCTGTAGCGATTGAAATGTATGAGTCACTTTTGTAGAGAAACGAACCACAAATGAAAAGAATCAGTTTTCAAAATGGAAAACAAGGTTATTTAATCCAATACATGATCAGACACAGCTTTGAAGAGTATTGTAATGAATCAGAATTGAAATTATGTCTGCAGTCACTTTAAACCTCTCAATTGATTCTACATATATTAAACTACTTTGTAGGTTTGTGAACTTTGAAGAAATGAAAAAAGAAGTTTACAAAGGATTTAAAAAAATATAAGTAAAGCTTTAAAAGTACATACTTCCTCCAAAATCAAGAATAAAAGGTTTTTTTGAACAAATCTCTAGATGAGCCCCCCGCATGTTCCTGATTTAAAATGCAACTTAGAACACGTTCCTGAGGATAAAAACAGGTTCTTGATTTGAATTTTTGTTCGTTCCACGTTCATTCTTTAGATTAACATTTCAATAATTCTAACAATGCTTTCTATGCGTTTGTTCTTTCATTTGGAGCGATGAGATTGTTCTTCATAATTCTGTTTGTTCTCAAAAAGAAGAGTCGTTACCCAGGAATGACGACGCCCAGCCCTAGTTGCAGTACACCCCAGTGAATCAAGTAGCCTATCAACCCAGTTCTGGCACCAGTCTCACTCTTACGTATAAACTTGTATAAAGTTCAAACAATCTACCAAACTGTTCTTTTTCCTGCTGGACAAGATGAAATTAGCCCAAGTCCAGTTTTCTATGTTGAATCTGTGAACTTACTGAAATCTTGAGTTGTATCAAAATTTGTGTGCCAACATTCATGGATTTGATATGTTGATACTCAAGGTTCACGTGGGAGTCATACTTTCAAATATGAAAGTTGACCAAATTTTAGGCCATTGTCACAGTTGAAGAAATGTATTTATTGAAGAAATGTAAAATTGAGGAAATGTAAATTGCCCAAATGTAGTATTGAAGAAATGTAATGTAGAACTTGAGAAAAATGACTTCAATAAATATTCATATTAGTAAACTTACTTCACAGCACTCGAAGTTTAGCTCAAGTAAAATTGGGGGTGCAAGGTTCCTTTGCAGATGCAGCAATCAGCATTCTGTTGGACTTGGAGATGAATTTGAATTTTCCAAATTTTCCCAGAGAAACCACCAGTCAAAAGAGAGGTCCCCAAGAACCCCCCAGCCTGTTGAGAGGTCCCCAAGATCCCCCCAGTGTAGGGAAAGGGCCCCAAGAACCCTCCAGCCTGTTGAGAGGTCCCTAGGATCCGCCAAGTCTAGGGAGTGGTCCCCAAGAACCCCCCTGCCTGTGGAGAGGTCCCTAAGATCCCACCAGTCTGATGTAGGGCTGGGCGCGTTAACGGTGGAACGATCGTTCTTTGCCAAGAACGAACGGAACGATCAAGAACGATCCCATCGTTCCGAAAAAAAAACGAACGCTTAGAACGCGTTCTTAAAAATTTTGGAACGATTAGTAAAAGAACGGAACGGAACGGAACGGGAAGACCGTTCTTCTACTCAGAACGGAACGGAACGATTTCAAAAAAGTCGGAACGTGCCCAGCCTTAGTCTGATGAGAGGTCTCTGAGAACCATCCAGCCTGGAGAGAGGTTCCGTTGAACACCCCAGCCTGAGGAGAGATCCCTGAGAACCATCAAGCCTGGGGTGAAGTCCCTGAGAACGGAACGGAACGGGAAGACCGTTCTTCTACTCAGAACGGAACGGAACGATTTCAAAAAAGTCGGAACGTGCCCAGCCCAGCCTTAGTCTGATGAGAGGTCTCTGAGAACCATCCAGCCTGGAGAGAGGTTCCGTTGAACACCCCAGCCTGAGGAGAGATCCCTGAGAACCATCAAGCCTGGGGTGAAGTCCCTGAGAACGGAACGGAACGGGAAGACCGTTCTTCTACTCAGAACGGAACGGAACGGGACGGAACGGAACGATTTCAAAAAAGTCGGAACGTGCCCAGCCCAGCCTTAGTCTGATGAGAGGTCTCTGAGAACCATCCAGCCTGGAGAGAGGTTCCGTAGAACACCCCAGCCTGAGGAGAGATCCCTGAGAACCATCAAGCCTGGGGTAAAGTCCCTGAGTAGTACTTCTCTGTCAAAGGAGAGGGCCCTGCAAACCCCCCAGCCCAAGGAGTGCTCCGAAAAAATCCCCAAGACTGTCCGTGTAACTAATGTGATAGATCCAAGAGGAACATTAAACCCTGTTTCTACCTCCAGAGAAAGAGAAAAACAAGATCTCAATCTCTTGCTTTATCTCCTATTTCTCATGTGGATGGAGATGATAGACACTTTAGCATCGAATCTGAACCTGATCCTAGCCTTGAACCTGAACTGTTTCATGAACCTGAAAAAAGCTTCGAACCTGAACATGTTCATGAACCTGAACCAGAACCCAGCCTTGAACCTGAGCCTGATCATGAACCTGAACCTAGCCCTGAATCTAAACTAGAACCTAGCCTTGAACCTGAACCTGACCCCGAGCATGAGACAGAATCTGAGAGATATTTTCGAATCTTAAAAACTTTAGAATATCATTGCGATTTTGTAGAGAATCTTAGAACTTAAAAACATGTAATGTGCTATAATTTTCTGCGATAATTAAAACCCGATATATATTTAAATGTATTCATAGCAAATAATAAATATTTAGATCTTAAAAAAAATTTTGTGAACACTCCCTTTAACTACAAATTTTTTTTTTATAAGAACATGTATTTACGGTTAATTATATATGCTTTCAACTACAGCAATGTGATATCTTAAACATAAGTGAAGCTGGAATTAAAGGGACTGTAAAGGAAAAATAAAATGGGATTTAGGCTGAAAGCTAATCACTTTAGCTCTCGATCGCGACCCATGAAAGTCATATCTGATGTTCCTATCTCGAGAAATTAATATACAACTTTGGCAAATTTATACGAAAATTAATATATATACAATTTTGTATAAAAGTAGTAGGTTTAAAAAGATCAAATTCAGCAAATAAGCATCCAATCTGAAAACGATGATATCCCAGAGAAAGCTAATTGTATATTAGGTTTACTTTTATATTTGTTATTTCTATTTTTAATAGATTTCATTCGTAATATTATTTATACGTCCGTATTACTTGACCAGAAATTCCACCAATGGCAGTGCAGTCTAGTGGTCATGTGATACAGGCGGAGACACGTGATCAGTATACTGCTCTTCCATTGGTGATAGTTCTGGTCATGTGATTTAAGTTTAAGATTTTCAAAATTTTACATATATGAACTTTCGTATAATTTTAACACAGTTTTATATCAATTTCTCGAGACAGGAACATCAGATAAAACTTTCATGGGTAGCGATCAAGAGCTAAAGTGATTAGCTTTCAGCCTATACCCCCTTTCATTTCTTCTTTACAGTCCCTTTAAGTGTTTACATATCATTTACGTTACAACCATTATATAATCTACACCATATACAATATATATTATATATGTACTTAAACAATGAACACTGATCATCTTTCTTTCATATTTTCAGAGCTTGAAATACTCATAAATCATAAGAAAAAATAAATGCATGAACAAAATAAATTCTTACTTTAAAAGATTAATTAATAAGATATTTGATTTTCTAAAATAAAATAAATGTGATGAAATAAAATTTGATAAAAGAGGAAAAATAATGTTTAGAAACATGATGATTAAAATAGATGAAGGATAATATGCAAGTTATGGTGTTTGAAATAATGAGATCTGAGAGGAAATTGGGTCTAACATAAAACATAATTTTTGAAGCATTTAAAGAATGATCTAAATAAAACAAATAAAAATTCAAAATGAAAGGAAAATACAATGACAAAATTGATGATAAATCTTTTTAAAAGTTAAAACTGATAAAAAAGGATGGAAAACAGGAATGGGAGAAAAATTAAAAGAAAAGACGTATGCTCGGTTTAGACTCTCGAGGAAAGATGGTCGGACTGGAGCTAGTTTTCTTCTACTACTGGTTCAGCTGTTTGTATGCCAGAGTACTTCTTCATACATACAATCCTGTAAAAAAGAATTTATTTGATAACTAATTATAATTTAGAGACTTGGACCCAGGTCCCAGGCAGCTAAAAGGGGGAAAGGGGGACGTCCATCCCCTGGAAAATTGGGGAACCTTTTAGACCTCTAATTATGATATACAACAAAATTTCGCTTCAGGTGCCACTAAACAACTCAAAATAAAGTTTTTTTATTGAAATATAAATGAAAATTAAATATAAAAAATATAAAAAAAAATCAAAATTAGTTAAAATTTTTTCCTTTCCACTCCCAGCTTGTCATTGTTTTCGTTTTCCTATATATATATAAATACCTTGAGATTACCCGATCCATTGGTTCCAAACTTCTCAGACATTCAGGCAAGAAGTTCCAATCACTAAACAAGATTAAAACTTTATCATTCATAAAAAAGTAGTAAAAGCAACATTATTAACTGAAAACTTTATACTTTTTTTTCTAGGGTAAAAAAGGAATTGTGTCTTTGTTACAAACTCTGATTTTCTAGTTTCTATGTTTTTGCAACCCAATGCTGTAGATCTCAGATATTTCAAACTTTATATTCTTTTAGAAAAAATAATCCGAGTTTGAAATATCAAAGGTTTACATCAAATGGTTGCAGAGATATAAGGATTAGAAAATTAGAGTTTGTGACAAGGACTAAATTTCTTTCTATGCTTCATAAAAAGTTAATTGATACAAAATAAAGTTTTGAAATGTTGGAACCTTCTCATATTGTAATTTGTAGTAACACTTTTTAAAAGTATAAAACAATTAAGTTTTTCTAGAAACGAATCTGGCTATTGCACATCCCTACACACACGGCGTTTCACAACTCTCTTTATAGAGATCATTTGAGGTTTTTATTCCTGATCACATAAAAATTAGAAACAGAGAAAATGTTATCGAATTTTCCTGTTTTAATTGCATCATTTCCAATTTTTTAAACAATAGCTAGATTTGGAGTCAAATTTAGACTTTCAACAACCCTTTCTTAGATCACTCGAAAAAGGAAAAAAGGTAGGATGGGTGTCCTAAAGAATATTGATGATGATGTAGGTTTACCTTAGGAAGGTAATAAGGAAGGAAGGATGGATGTTCTAAAAAATATCAATGATGATGTAGGTTTACCTAATTAAGGAATGTAGGATGGGTGTTCTAAAGAATAATGATGATGATGTAGGTTTACCTAAGAAAGGAAGGAAGTAAGGTAGGATGGGTATTCTGAAGAATGTTGATGACGATGATAGAAGTGATGATGATGATACTCGGAACCAAAGTACAGGTCAGGACAATACTTCCTACAACAAGATCAGAGCTAACATCTAAATTTAAAAAATCAAAATAAATGTTATTTTGTCAGATACTCTAAATAACATTATAATTTTTAATTATGACAATTATGAAAATATATTTGATAAAGGAGAATATTTTATCTGAATCGTTTAAAACTCAATATTTTCAACATCAAATATGTTTTATCTTAATGATAAACAAATAAGTTGGGTATGATAAAACCTAAAATTTTAATATTCTGAAATAGTTATATTTAGAAATAAGAATGTTAAAATTGATAATGCTTACCTGCTATTGAAAGGACGAGTACTAGTCCAGGGACTATTAAGAACATGAGAAGAAGATAGACGATTGCAAACCATCGATATCTAGCTGTTGTTCGTCCCAAAACTTTGCACAATGCTAAAGTAATTTGTGATTTAAAGTTGTCAGACAAAAAAACTTTCTTTTAAGAATTGCCAGATCTGAACTCATACATTTTTCGTCGTCTTTATTTAATAATTAAAAAAAATAAATCTCAAAACGTAACCACCCAATTGAAGGATTTTGAACGTCGACTTTGCGTTCAAAGAAATTATCCCACTACCATATATTGCCTGTCACTCCCTTTAAACCTCACTGAATGACAATCAACAGATAATATCATTTTACTATTTTTCAAATTTTTGTGTTTCATTTGCATAAGTCCCTCGGTCACTTTCAAAGAAAACCCACAGTTAATAATAATAAAAAGTAGGATATCTCATTCATTTTTGATTCGACAATTATTTAATAATACTTCTGTCAGTCGGACACTTAAAATTAGGTCTACAGTCCCATTAACGTAAAAAAAACATCTGTTTTATACCTAGAGGCCATCTCATAACAGGTAGAGGATAGAAGAGGAGAATACCGTGAATATTGAAGGTCAGGTGACACAGGGCAATCTAAATACAAGGAATTGAGTCTTTGGCACAAACCCTGATTTTCTAATCCCTATATCAGTGCAACCCAATGTTGTAGTCATTAAATATTTAAAACTATGAATCTGTTAGATCAAATAATTTAAGGATAAAACCATAAGGTTGCCAAGCTATAGGATTTGGATTTAAAACGCTTGAGTTTGTGGAAAAGACTAATTTCCAAAATAATGAAACTTTTTTATTTCTACCACAAATCTATTCCGTTAAGACTTCAATAGATTTGTTTTGTGAAAGATACCGAACACTTGCCATGCAAATCATAATGTTTTAGTCCTTTAAATATTTTTACAACCTTTGGTAAGTAAATCAAATTATAAATTCTGCTTGATCAAATCGTCAAAATTTCAGCTTGAAAAACTGATTCAATATTAGAGATTGATTGAATTTTACCAAATATGCCACAAAAAAAATATTCTTCTTTTTGTAAGAAAATTACCAAATTACAAAATACAAATTCGCTTTGTTCAAATATGGGTTATCTCCCATCACTTCAAAACGGCTGACACTATAGAACGGTCCACCTTCTTCACTTTTCAAATTTTATAGTTTAGAACTTCAGGATAAAATTTGGTTTGAGTGTTTAAAAAAAATAAAACTTTTTATTAATTAAGCTACTAATCTAAAATTTATTTGAAGGCCTTAAAACACTAAATAGCATTATAGCATACGTATAATGTTAATATGTAATTGTCAAAAATTAAACTAAATATGTTTAAGCAATTTTCCGACGTACTTTTTGAACATTTTTTAACCTTCCTATCAGGCACCATTAAGGATAGAGGTCTTTTTTTTAATGAGCTGGCCTTGACAAGTGGGACTTTAGGGACATGTATCACAATTTACACTTCCCTATCTTCTTTAGACAAAAATAGCTTCCAGTGATGATCAGGTTGAAGTTGAAGTCCGATCTGTACCTGCACAGAACTTCTAAGCATTGATGGATCAGCTGATAGTGAGGCAAGAAGAGCTGTCGTCGTTGTTCCAATATTTGATCCCAAGGTCAAAGGATACATTCTAGAAAAAAAAATTATCATTAATATGAATAAAATATGATTTAAACTTGTCTTGACTTGATTATCCTACACAGTCATTTATTTACTTTCTAAGTTCTATCACGCAGAATCACAGACCTTGTTAAGGGGGGTGTCTCTATACCAGAGTTACCATTTGGGAAAAAGAACCCCAATCTAATAAGCATGAATTTAAGAAAAACACAAACATATAATCATATATGTGATTTAATGAAATTAAGAATTTTTATAGAAGTAGTTAACTATTTAGTAAATAAAACAATGCCTACAATGACCCAAAAAATAGAAAAAATGCAAATTCTTAATCAGGTAAGTTTTGGGAAACATTGAGTCCAAGTAATGATATTTCAAAATTTCAGAAATGAACAAAAAAAAATTTGTTAATTAAATTAATTTCAAAATATGTTGTCAGTTTCTAACTGTTGGAAGTGAAGGTAACCCTAATTATCGATCCAAAGTCTAAGGCAGAGTGGGATTCCTATTGTGTGCAATGCCCCGTAAAATTCCAATACAGAGAGAGGGGGAGTGAATTTTGTAGATCCAGAAAAATAATATCTGTGGGATGCCTGCGTAGATACCTGGGGTCTTAAATATGGCCGCAGAGCGCTTGGCCCGCCCCCTAGCCTGTCCTAGTCGCAGCGCTCGGCACCAAAAAGTGTCTTAAACTAACCTAACCCAACATAAATACTAATTTAATTATTTTTCTGAATCTACAAAATTCAATCCCCCTCTCTCTGTTTTGGAGTTTTACGGGACATTGCACACAACAGGAATCCCACTCTACCAAAGTCTGAGCCCAGTCAATAAGAGTTCGACATTCAAATACATGTGTCAGGGCTCGGAAGGCTTCCCATTCTAAATACCCATTCCCCATGTAACCTACAGATGTGCCTACAGACTAACTTAACCTCAATCAAACTCTTACCTACCTAACTTTCTACTACCCACTCGCTACTTATTTACCTCCTAACCTACCTACCTACTTTACACCCAAAGTGAATAAATACTAAAGTGGAACAGACTAAGGAAACGACGACAGGTTGGGCCATAAGGTTTTATTTGGTTTGGAAATAATTGAATGAAAAGATTTCGTTTGGAAAGTAAAGACTAGAAAAAATAGACTAAAGACCCGTGTAAATGTCGTCTTCAGATAGAACTTCGAAATTTTCACGATTTAAAATCAAAATTTTTTGTACNACCTACCTACCTACCTACCTACCTACCTACCTACCTACCTACCTACCTACCTACCTACCTACCTACCTACCTACCTACCTACCTACCTACCTACCTACCTACCTACCTACCTACCTACCTACCTACCTACCTACCTACCTACCTACCTACCTACCTACCTACCTACCTACCTACCTACCTACCTACCTACCTACCTACCTACCTACCTACCTACCTACCTAGCTACCTACCTACCTAGCTACCTAGCTATCTACCTACCTACCTACCTACCTACCTACCTACCTACCTACCTACCTCCTAACCTACCTATCTACTGAGATGAGACCAAGTCCTACTAGAGGAGTGATAGTAGATGTGAAAACTGAGCTGCTCTGAACCAGGAAAGTGAGAACGGCTCCAGCTAGGATTGCAATATATCCTGAAATAAAACAAAATTATTACTCTTTTTTTATTTGATACATTAATATTGTAGACAAGACATCCTTGCCCTTTTTTTAGAATTGAATAACATTTTGCATTGCTAAAAAAAACAGATGAAATTTCTAAATTTGTTTTTATTTAATTAATTTTTTGAAGCCACACATGAAAGCAAACGTTTTAAAAAGTGCTCAGTTCTAAGTTTATAAAGGTACTGAAAGCGTAATTTCAAGTGACCCGCTATTAATTCCCGCTTAATTCTGATAATTCCTACATGTTTTCCTGCAGTACAAATACGCAATGCGCATATCATTTTTGTAGAGAAACAACAATTGAAAATAATCAGTTTTCAAAAATCATTAATATAGACATCTATACATGATCGGACAAAGCTTGTTAGGCTGTACAGTTGTGAATCGGGCATTGCTATCTTTCCGCGTAGGGTAACTTGAAATTACGATTACAGTCCCTTTAAAAGTAGATATGCGTTTTATAAAACAAGATTAAATAAAAGAGAGTTTGAAGAATTTGAATTATATTATTTTAAAACTCTGAAAAACAAGATCTCAATTAACAAATCTTGGAATTTTCTGTTTTCAAATTGTTCTTATAGTTAGATTTTCGTATAAAATTAAATAAAATGAAATAAGAGAATATTAAAAATTGGATTTATAGCTGATGCAGCATTATTAAAAAAATTTGCATTTAGATTTTTAGATTTTAAACTTTTACTGAAAAGGAATTAAGTCTTTGCCAAAAACTCAAATTTTCTAATCCCAATATCTTTGCAACCTAGGATGGTGTAAGCCATTGAAATTTCAAACTTGACATTACAGAATTCATAGTTTGAAATATCTAAGGGTAAGATTTAGAGATTGACAATCATATTTAGGGGCAAAAACTAAATTTCTTGAATATTCATTTTTATATTTTCTTGGTTTGTACGCAAGCAGCCTTTATGAACTATAAAAGCGTTAAAATATATAATATTAAAAGTGAAAATAATATACATCTTATTGTTTTAGAAACTATATTTCCATATTTTTCACCGAAACCATTGTAGACCTGGTACCTCGAAGTTTATTGTCGTCTTTGTTTATAAATATACCTGACAACCATGGTAGACCAGGTACCACAGAGTTTATTGTTTTCTTAGTAATTATAAATATACCTGACAACCATGGTAGACCAGGTACCACGGAGTTTATTGTTTTCTTAGTAATTATAAATATACCTGACAACCATGGTAGACCAGGTACCTCGGAGTTTATTGTTGTCTTTGTTTATAAATATACCTGACAACCATGGTAGACCAGTTACCTCGGAGTTTATTGTTGTCTTAGTTTATAAATATACCTGACAATCATTGTAGACCAGGTACCTCGGAGTTTATTGTCGTCTTTGTTTATAAATATACCTGACAACCATGGTAGACCAGGTACCTTGGAGTTTATTGTCGTCTTTGTTCATAAATATACCTGACAACCATGGTAGACCAGGTACCTCGAAGTTTATTGTCGTCTTAGTTTATAAATTTACCTGACAGACATAGTAGACAGGGTACCTTGGAGTTTATTGTCGTCTTTGTTTTTTGAATATACCTGACAACCATGGTAGACCGGGTACTTCGGAGTTTATTGTTGTCTTAGTTTATAAATACACCTGACAACCATGGTAGACCCGGTACCTCGGAGTTTATTGTCGTCTTTGTTTATAAATATACCTGACAACCATGGTAGACAGGGTACCTCGGAGTTTATTGTCGTCTTTGTTTATAAATATACCTGACAACCACGGTAGACCGGGTACCTCAGAGTTTATTGTTGTCTTAGTTTATAAATATACCTGACAACCACGGTAGACCGGGTACCTCGGAGTTTATTGTCGTCTTTGCCAACTCAGCTACAGTCCCCTGAAGATAGATAAACCATGTAACATTTTTTATTATTTGTCTTTAAACAATGGTGCTTCAATAAAATCATTTTCATGATGATTATCAAACTGATAATGTCGCTATAATAATTTTTAGCCTGCAATGAAGATGATGATTATAATTTTAAGGATGATGATGATTATGATAAAGATGGAGGAGGAGAAGAATGAACATAATAAAGATTAATATAATAATAATGATGATAATGATGGTGATATTAATATAATTGATGAAAATGATATAAATGGTGATGAGAAAGAAGGATAGCTGAAAAAATGAGTGTAGAAGTTTACCGATGAATATAAAAAAGTTGAGATGATGATTTAATATAACTGATGATAATGATAAAACTGCGTGTGAGAAAGAAGGATACTTAAAGAAGTGAGTGTAGAAGTTTGACACATAAGTTAAAATGATGATATTATTATAGTTGATGATAATACTATACATGCTGATGAAAAAGAAGGATACCTGAAGTAGTGAATGTAGAAGTTTTGCAACGAATACGAGACAGATTGAACTCGTGATATGATTATACCTTATGAAAATGATGTAAATGCTGATGAGAAGGAAGGATACCTGAAGAAGTGAGTGAAGAAGTTTGACAATGAATATGAGACAGGTTGAGATGGTGAGAAGAGCAGCAATGAAGAGGATGAGTCCCAGGTAGAAGTCCGATATATTCTCCAGGTTCATCAGGAACTCACACTTCTTCTCATCTAACCCATCAATCTAGAATAGACATATACTCATCAGTTTATACAAAACAATCGAAATTATATGGACCAAGAGGAGTTGTTTCTGCTTACAGCTTAAAGATAGTTTCGCCAAAGATCTGTGAGTTCTGCATATAGATATAAAGGACTCTCATGTATATACAATGATAACCATAACACTTTTAGCCTAAGACCTGCAATAGTCCAGTGAACATGACACAACAATTGTGCAGTGTAAATAGACCCATTTATTTTAGAAAGTTATTTAGTAAGTTACTATAACTAAGTATGCTTTGTTACAATAAATACATTCATTAATATTCTTTAATGTCGTCTTCCTATTTCTAAGTTTTCTGATTCTCACAGTAATCCATAAAACTTGGAGAAATAGGTAAATGACTTTTAGACTAAAATTTTGGTTTTAAATGATTCCATAAGCAGAAAACACAGTATTTGTGCAGTGTACACAAAACCACAACTAACAGTGTATAGATACTAAAAAAAAGAAAATTATGCTTTCCAAAGATAGTATCATAAATTTTACTTGATACTACTTTACATCTACTATCTTTATAATAAAACAAGACGTTCGTATATATGTTCCCTATAGCTGGCCAAATGGCTGGACCGAATGGGCTGACATTTTGTGTGGACACTCATATGCTAAAAAAATATTCGATTAAAAAAAAAATTAAATAAAAACCGGGCCTTTCAGCTAGTTTACTATATGTGTCTCCTCAAAATGGCTAAACCCATTTAAAATTCAACAATGGCAAATTGTTTTGTAATTTTGAATTGATTTTGTTTCTATTTTGAAAAAAATAAAATGGGTTATTAAATATAAACCCTAATTACAAAATATATGTTTAGTTCTAAGTAGGTATAATGGGCTCTTTTAAATATTTAATAAATACTTTTCATTAAATATTCTCAACCAAATCCATTATTAACTAGAAAATACTGGATGGTTTTAACTTTATAATTTTCTATTGAGGCTTTAATACGCAGTTTTCAACAAACCTATTCAAAATAGATTTATGATTGCATCTGTATTTGCTGAATGGGATAATGATCTTTTTCGTTATAATTCTTAATGTCATTGTAATGTCAATGATTGATTGAGATATTCTTGCGTTTCAATCTTATATGTAGTATTTTACAACGTACTTATCTAGGTATGTTCAACTGTATTTTTTACATAAATTCTTTTGATATTTAGTAGGTTATGTGGTTTCTCTTCAAAAGTTTTTTGCGAATTTATTTAGCAGAGACAAAGAAGTAAATTGACAGACCTTTCTCTTCATCTTTATACATATATTAATATAGTATTGATTTCTTTTGGGATGTCCGCTCATAATTCATGAAAACCATGACAGATTTGCAGCAAATTTTGATTGGTTAACTTGTACTTAGTAGAAGTTCTTAGCTTGGTTTTAAAAATTCTAAATTGAGATTGCTGACTTATAAAGGGAAAGCTGGGTTCCTAATCTAGCAAGGTGTAAACATCAATTTCTTCTTCATTAGTACTCAGATAAATGTTGATTTTTAATTATTTTTATCTTAGAATTATAGTGATTACTCAAAATAACGTTGTCTGTCTCTTTAAAATTAAAATGTTTTCAAACAACAATTCTAATCTTATACCTGACGAGTTTCTGTTCCACTGATATTCAACCCAGAGTCCTTACACCAGACCTAAACACAGAGATTCAGATTCAGAGCGATCAGAACTTTTAAATAAGAAGTCTATTTAGCGATATTCTAATATTGGCACAGCTTAAAGTATATTTAGCGGTATTCTAGTATCTACACAGCTTGAAGTATATTTAACGGTATTCTAGTATCTACACAGCTTGAAGTATATTTAGTGGTATTCTAGCTTGAAGTATATTTAGCGATATTCTAGTATCTACACAGCTTGAAGTATATTTAGTGGTATTCTAATATCTACACAGCTTGAAGTTTACTTAGCGGTATTCTAGTATCTACACAGCTTGAAGTATATTTAGCGTTGTTCTAGTATCTACACAGCTTGAAGTATATTTAGCGATATTCTAGTATCTACACAGCTTGAAGTATATTTAGCAGTATTCTGATATCTACAGTAGCTGTGTAGATTCTACACAGCTTGAAGTATACTTAGCGGTATTCTAGTATCTACACAGCTTGAAGTATATTTAGCAGTATTCTAGTATCTACACAGCTTGAAGTATATTTAGCTATATTTTAGTATCTACACAGCTTGAAGTATATTTAGCAGTATTCTAGTATCTACACAGCTTGAAGTATATTTAGCAGTATTCTAGTATCTACACAGCTTGAAGTATATTTAGCAGTATTCTAGTATCTACACAGCTTGAAGTATATCTTGAATTTGTCCCGATTTCAATTGTTTCTTTAGTTTCCTCTGTTTGACGATATTTTAGGATCAGCACTACTTGGCATAGAGAGGGTGCGAATGCCTCCCAGCTCACTGGCACTATGATGCGTAGTTAAACAGAAAAAGATGTACGTATTACAGATTATTATGGATTTGCAACTTTGCCTATCAGTTATAGCAAAAGCTTAGATAAAACCAACGTTATGGCAAACCCTACAACCCCCGACAATAAGATTTAAATCTAGAGTTTTAAAAAATTGTCAAAATGTCAATCTGTAACTCAGATTTAAAACATTTTTTTAAAGTCTAAGATATAGTTTTTTAATGAGGTAGCATAGAAAGAAGTATAATTAAAAAACTATGTTTTTTATTTCTAACTAATTTGTTATTTTAATGGATAATTGATTATACACTTCTCAGGTTCTTTTGCTTCCTACATTATGATCTAAACAATTTGCCCTCTGCATCAAAAAAAATTAATATTCATATTTTATTTTATCATAGAAAATTAATAATTAAAATAAAATGATTGGACTGAAAAATAATGTTTTCCTATTAATTTTTAAAGGGGGAGGGGGGCCGGGAGAGAAGGTTGGTTTCACTTCCAAAAAAATAATGCACGAACCAGTGAATATTTTTTCTTTTTTTAAGTTTCTATTTTTAAGGTAAAACCAATTTTATGGTGAATTGATCTTTTGGTTCATTTGAAAACAATTTGGATTCTATCAAATCTCAACCGAAATAATTTTAGCAAAAGATCGGTCGGTTTACCAATCATTCTTTTCTCTAAAACTGAAGAAAAAAAATTATTTTGATTAATTTAATTTTTTTTAATTTGAAATCTTAACTTATAAAAGGTTTTTTTTTGAGTTAAAATTCGAAAAGTTAAAGATTTTTTTTATTTTTCTTAAACTGTATCTCAAATGTAGACTTCCCTTGTCTTCCTATTATTGATATATCACAGAGTAGCAAAGTAATGATGTTAGTTTAAATTCTTACCTTGAGAAGCCTTTGCTCTTGACAACCACCAAGCGCCCAGCATTTCAACACTGATTTCTCGATCTAGGAATTCAGATTTAAAACAAAACGGGAGAGAAAGGAATTGAGCTGATGCCTAATCCTTATATATTTGAAACCTGATGGGGTAAGTCTGTAATATTTCAAACAATGATTATTTTACCTAACAGAATTCATAGCTTGAAATATCTAAGGTCTACGGCATTGGGTTGCAAAGATATAGGGATCAAAATATCAGAGTTTGTCGCAAAAACTCAATCTCTTTTCTTTCGGTATTGCATTATTTTGTCTGAGCTGTTCTGACATGGGAAAGTTGCATTCTTAAAACGATTTTCAAAATGATTTATTTAAACGATTTTTCAAATAATTTTATGAATTTTTTTTCTTATATTTATGATTCTCTGCAACTGTAAACTTGCTTCTCTCTTTGTCAAATCATTAAATACAACATTATAGGATTGTATGTCAGGCTGAAGACCTAATACAGCCAGGGTTCGTGATATTATATTATAAACGTTTCAGGTCGTCTTTACCGTATCATCCTTTGTTAGAAACCTTGTATAGGAATAAAAATATAGGCTGAGAGGAAGGTCGTGGATAAGAAATATGATTTTATATTGTCCTTGAATGAATAGTGTGCCAACAGAGGATATGTAATTAGGCCAAACAATTCCTTTCTTTCTTTTCAAACACATTGGATAGAATACGAAAACCTGTATTTTATTTACATGTTTTCGATATAAGTTTAATAATCAAATAATATTTGGACTTTTAGAAAATTTTATATTTTAAAAATTAAGACAGTTATTATTAAAATCGAATTCTTGAACAATATTTGGTTATGGCGGACTTCGATGTCAACAAGCCTTAGCTCTCAGTTTGAAGTTATTAACACACTTATTTTTTGTAGCCCTAGACATATACCTAATTTAACACTAGGCATTTAGCGCACTTCACGCTCCCCTTCCTTTTAACAATTTAAGCTCTTAGCTGTTGCTCTAAAAGTCGGCATTTTAATCTTTTTTAAATTTAAGCGTTTTTCTGTTTAAAGGAATTGAGTTATTGCCACAAACTCTGATTTTCTAATCACAATATCTTTGGATTCCAATGTCATAGACCTTTGAAATTTCAAACTATGACTTCTGTTAGATCAAATAACATAAGTTTGAAATATCAAAGGTTTACGACATTGGGTTTCAAAGATATAGGTATTAGAAAATCAGAGTTTGTGGCAAAGAATCAACTCCTTTACGCCATTATAAAGAATATTAATATTATTTTCTCATTCACGGTCCAAGGAGACTGACAGACAAACAAACAAAGAAGCCAAATATAGCTTTTCTTTTACAAATTAAAAAGTTAGATTTCAAAACCCGGTATTATTTAGTAATGTATAAATTCCAACCTGCATGATACTTGATGTCAGGGGTTTAGTTAAGTCTCCCAGAAAATTCATGCTTTTTCCACTTTTGCTGCTTTCTGAAGTAATGCTCATCGAGTAGTTGCTGCTCATTGAATTGTTGTTTATCGAGTAGTTTACTTCAGCCTAAAATAAACGGATATATGAACTGAAAGTTGACTTTTACTATTTCTGTATTTTTGCAACCTGAAGGTGCAAACCTTTGAAAATTTAAACTTTGACAATTTGATTTTGCAGAATGCATACTGCAGTACTGCTACAGTTTGAAATCTGAAACCTCTATACGTTGTTCCAAGATTAAAAAGTCAGAGTTTCTATGTATTTATTTCATGGAAAACATTGATGTAATTGTTTATATCTGGAAGCGTGTAGTGAGTGAAGTGATCACCCAGGAAGGGCTGTTAGGGTAAAAGCACGCCTATAATAAAGTAAAGCATAAAAAGGATTTAATTTTACCTCTAGTTTTTCTGTCATCCAACTTGTCAGATGGAACATGTATCCTAGTAATACAAGGGGTTATTCTAACAATATTAGGTTTAAAGGAAGTGTTCGCTAAAATAGTTAGTTAGTAAAATGAAAAATGTTTGAAATTTCTATTTCTTACCGATGTGTAAGAAAGAACCCTAAACAAACTTGTTTTTTCTAATCTTCTAATTTTCTTCATACAATCGTTGAAATCATGAGAAAGCTTTCTAATCTTCTAATTTTCTTTATAAAACCGTTGATCTCAAAAGAGCGTAAAGTTTTCTAATCTTCTAATTTTCTTTATAAAACCGTTGATCTCATGAGAGCGTAAAGCTTTCTAATCTTCTAATTTTCTTTATAAAACCGTTGATATCATGAGAACATAAAGCTTTCTAATCTTCTAATTTTCTTTATAAAATCGTTAATCACATGAGAACATAAATCTTTCTAATCTTCTAATTTTCTTTATAAAACCGTTGATCTCATGAGAACATAAAGCTTTCTATAATCTTCTAATTTTCTTTATAAAACCCTTAATCAGCATAAAGCATAAAGCTTTCTAATCTTCTAATTTTCTATAAAAAATCGTTGATCTCATGAGAACATAAGTCTTTCTAATCTTCTAATTTTCTTTATAAAATCGTTGATCTCATGAGAACATAAAGCTTTCTAATCTTCTTATTTTCTTTATAAAATCGTTGATCTCATGATAACATAAAGCTTTCTAATCTTCTAATTTTCTTTATAAAATCGTTAATCTCATGAGAGCATAAAGCTTTCTAATCTTCTAATTTTCTAAAAAACCGTTAATCTCATGAGAGCATAAAGGTTTCTAATCTTCTAATTTTCTATAAAAAACCATTGATCTCATGAGAGCATAAAGCTTTCAAGAAGAGATATGAACAACAGAAATTTAGTCCCTGCATACTTATACAATCTTGTATTATTCTTTTGGCTTTACTAATTAAGAAATTGATTAATTAAGAGAAACTGTATATTATGGTTGGCCAATTTTTTTTTGTTATTTTTCGTATCTTTTTATCCATTGGTTTACGAAATGATCAATTTAAAACCTTTCTTTTATTCCAAAATCTTCAACACAATTAAAAATGTCTGAGTAAACTATTGCAGGTGGTTCATAAAAAGGAACAGTTTTTCCCCCCGATTTTCTCTTTAATTTTTTCAAATCGGAAAACAAAACAAAAAACATTTTTTTACATTTTTTTTTGTTACCTGTGCACACTTCGATAGTGAGGAGAACCAGAACAGTTAACCAATTGAAGCAATCGTGAACCGTAGCCCCAGAAAACGCGCGCTCAAATTCATCTCTGAAATTATGGAACCTATAGCTTTTGCCAGAAACCTCAAATCCCTATATATTTGCAACCTGATCGTGTAATCCTTGAATATTTCAAACTTTAAATCTAACAGAATTCAAAGATTTAAATATCAAACGAATTGTAAATTTAATATTCAAAATTTGTATGATTTAACAGAATTCATATTTTAAAAAATCTAATACATTGTGATGCAATGATTTAGGGATTTGACAATCAGAGTTTGTGGCAAAGACTCATTTCATTTACATTATTTATTTGTTTGTTTGGTAAATCATATCTATTTATCTCACAAAATATAGTTAATGTTAATTGGATATTTAATCCTATATTAACTATAAATATTACACACTAATTTATCTTTATTCATCTACATAGATATTTGAGTAAAAATTCAGATATTGCAAATTGCAATTAAGTTAGAACCAGAAAAATGTAAAATAGGAAGATTACTATAGTTATAATTTTAAACAGTCCAATGAACATGAAACTCAGCAAATGTGCAGTGACAAACCCATTTCACTTAACAAGGGATTTTTAAGCGATTAGTAAAATTTCTTGCTTTATGACAACACACCTGGATAAGTCCTACATTTATGATTGCTTTGAAATCGTTTTCTTTTTCATTGATTTTTGGTTCTCACTGTTGTTCATTTGTAAGTTTATGTATCTCAAGTTTCAATTCTATAGTTTAATAATTAAACAATAAAATTTATTTGTATTAAATTCTTTCAATATTCTGCCTTTGAAGAGCAAAACAAAGGAAATAAGTTTTTGTCTCACTTTTTAAAAATTAAAATAAATCTACAACAGTATTTTATAGATACTTTTAACTACAAAATGCAGAAAGTATCTCAAAGCCTTTTAGCTTTTAACGTATAATCTGAGAAATTCATTTTCAAATTGAATTCGCTTAGTTTCAGTTGGATCGTTTAACTCTGGTTTCTCTGAGAGTCTGAGGTTAATTCCTTTTGAATGCTTCGAGTTATGTCGTCTAAAAACTTATCTTGAGCCAAAATAAGAGATATACGCGTTTAAGTTGTTTAAGTTCCTACCGCTACAAATATGCTTATAGAGTAATAATACAAAACAATCCATATAATTGTAAACATTTAAACAAATTGAATAAAATCTTCAACAACCTTCAACCTATGACTTTAAATATTCCAATAAGCAAATGGAACACAGCACTTGTGCAGTGTAATAAGACCCATTTCACTTAACTAGTGACTTAATAAGTGTTTAGTAAAACTATTTGCTTTGTAACACCTCAAATACACTAAGTATTTCTTTTAAGTCGTCTTCCTTTTTCAGAATTTTCTATTTATAGACTATATTTTTTTCTGTTAAAAATATGGATTCACCTGTCAGACACCTGGGAGAAGGAAACCAGAGTATTGGTTAGTGATGTTCCAATATTTGCTCCCATTATCATAGGTATAGCATTCTGTACAGCCAGTACTATAAAACATAAATATTGCATATTTATGTACCAATATTTGCTCCCATTATCATAAGTATAACATTCTGTACAGCCAGTATACTTTAAAACATGAATATTGCATATTTATGTTCCAATATTTGCTCCCATTATCATATATTAAGATATATATTAAGATAGATATTAAGTAAGATGAATAGTAACATAGATATTTAGATATATATTAAGATAGATATTAAGATAGATGTTAAGCTAGATAGTAAGATAGATAGTAAGATAGTTAGTAAGATAGCTATTTAGATAGATAGTAAGAGCGATAGTAAGCTAGATAGACAGTAAGTTAGATATTAAGATGTATAGTAAGATATTACGATAGATATTATGATAGATAGTGAGAGAGATATTAAGATAGATATTTAGAATGAAATATCAAAATAGATCCTAGGATAGACACTTCGACATATTTCAAATTATATATTTGGATAGATTAAAATAGATATTACGAAATCAAAAAGATAGATTGATAATATCCTGAGCAAGTTTGCAGATGCAGCAAGAAATTTGAGAATTTTAAAAATAATAAACATTAAACGAAGCTGCTTCAATATCATGATATTGAAAATATGCATTTAGATCTGCAAAAATATATTCAAATTGGCAAAATATTTTGCGAAATAGGAAATGTATCTTGACATTTGCAGAAAGAAGTTTCAGGTTTCTGTATTTTCATAAATTTATTTAATAATTCTCAACTTAGTACTGTCTATACTTCTATACCTTCTATCCAACATCATTAACTTAGTCGATATTATTTAATTTTCTTTATATCTAAACTGCCTATCTACCTGTAAAGTATGTTGCGTACTAATCTCCCATATGTACCTTTCTACCTATCTACTTTCTACCTGTTATCTATTTAACTATCAACCTAGATCTTTTTCCACCTATATACCTATTTACCTTTCTACCATGATATATCTACCCATCTACCTATCTACCTTACCAACTATCTACCCAATTATCTTCATGGTAAATCTACCTATATCTACCTATCTACATATCAAAATTACCAACTATCTACCCAAATATCTACCATGATAAATCCACCTATCAACTTATCTACTTTAGCAACTATTTACCCAAATACCTAATATGACATACCTACCTATATACCTTACCAACTATCTAACCAAAATGCCTACCATGATATATCTACCTATTACCTATCTACCTTACCAACTGTCTACCCAGATATCTACCATGATATATATATCTACCTATAAACTACCTATTAAGGTATTTGCCTACCTCCACTGGATACCATGGATACGATGACAGATGTGCAGGTTGAGCTGGATTGAACCAGGACGGTGAAGAAGACCCCCATCATCAACCCAACCACAGGGTTCTGCAGCAAAGGGTTCTCTCGGAAGATAGAACCTAGATATATTTTCACAATATTATCATTTTAATAACCGCAATGGCAGTTATTGAAAAGTCACTATCGTGCTGCTGAAGAATGTAAATCGATCATGAAATAAATGAATAAAACTTTAAAATGTTTAAAATGTTTAAAATGTGCTCGGAGATCAGAACTTTTATGTTGTAGAAACCTGGAGCAAACAGTTTCCCGTATATTATGGCGTCTGCAGGATTAAATAAATTCCCGGATATCCTGTGTTTAATACTATGCTTTACTTTAATAAGTTCTGTATATGCAGGGTGTCCAACATCAATTTAGACCGCGTCAATGGGTCTAAATTACGATTTGGGGGACAAATCAGAAAATTTAAGAAGAATGAATCATTTTGAAAAATTTAATAAGGCTAATAGAATTTTCTTTTTGCAGAAAGTGCTAGATTTTTCTAGTATTATGTGCGTATTTTGGCGTTAAAGATTGGAGATAATCTAATATGATATGGGACGCTCTGTATATACATAATACACCCCAAACTAAACCTTTGGTGCGTACTGTAGAGATCTTCAGTACTCCGACCGAATGTATAGTGGGTTTAAGCGTAGAGTGCGTACGCTAAAATAAACAAGTATTTACAGAAATTAACTCTATCCTAAGTGAGTTTCAAATACTGAAAAAATCCGGTGAATCAGTTCCAAGTCGATGACTATTGCATTTCTAATAAAAAAAAAACCTAATTCCATTACCTAGACAATCCTATAAGTTAACAAAGACTTTCAGAAACTAATTTTAAAATTTATTTCTTTTTGTTTTATGTTTCCTTTGTGCATAGTTCATTATCCTTGCTATTTACTGTTTAACAAGTCCTTGTGATTTATGCTATGCTGGAAGTACTAAGTACCATGTACTTTGTACTTTGCAAAATGTACTTTATATATTTTGTGTAATATGTACTAGAGAATATGTACTCTGTATTTTGTCATATTTACAATGACTCTATATAATATGTACTTTTACTCTATTCCATTTACGATGTACTATGAAATATGGGTTATGCACCTGTGGACTCTATGCTGTACTATTTAACATACATTTTGTAATATACTTTAGATGTTCATGACAAGTTTAAAGCACCAATTCTGAAAGTTTGAACAGGATGGATTAGAAGCAACTAACATAGTTCAGAAGTTTAGCAACTTATATTTTCTTCCTTACTCCAGTTAATTTGTACAATAGCAAACCAAAACTGCATAGAAGTAACGCCAAATGGTACAATTATACGGTACAACTACAAACAAATACAGTAAGTGTATAACTTCTTACTGTACAACAAAATACAATTAAATGTATAGATGCTATTAGAGTAAACATGATGTAGACTGTACATTGTACATATGATACAACTAAATACAATGAATTAAGTGAGAAAACGAACGAAAAGATGGAAAATGAACGATCATTTTGAGAAGAAACGAAATATTTGTTTTTAAACGATTGAAACAAGACTAACGAAATGTGTTGTTCACGAAAGATGAACGGACAAAAAGAAAAAGTGGAACGTGTCCATTTAGGTTCGTTTATTTATGTGTACAATTTTTCATTTTGTATGAACTAAAAAGTGCGAAAAATGTATCAAGATTTAAAATAAATATTTGATTTTACAACTAAATCATAAAATTTGCCAAATTTGCACATCCAGGGTTACACAAAAAGTTTCGAACCAAGGAAAAAGAGCAGGCGACATTTCAAATTCGGCCCTGTCTCAACAGATCCAATTCCCATATGAAAAGATGGCTGGTTAGTACCTGCTGTTTTACCCGCCATGAGCCTAAATGAGGTCGCGAGGAGCTCGAGGGCTGAAATGAACAGGTAGAGAGATAACAGAAGACAGGGGAGACGGAGTAGGGTTGGAACCCATAGAATCCAGGCTAGACATTCTCCTGATCCACCCTCAACCTATATATAGAGATGGTTGGTACTAGACATTCTCCTGATCCCCCCTCGATCTATATATAGAGATGGTTGGTACTAGACATTCTCCTGATCCACCCTCAACCTATATATAGAGATGGTTAGAACTAGACATTCTCCTGATTCACCCTCAACCTATATATAGATATGGTTAGTATTCATCTCATACAACTGATTTAACCTAGACTAGACGTCCTCCTGATCTATCCTCAACTACGATGGGTATCGTGTTGAGGTCTGTTTGAAAACATTTAATGGTATGCTAGACAAGTTTGCTTGTATTACGTTATGCAACTTTTTTACCCTTACCAAAGATATTTACAAAAACGATATTTCAAAACGATTAGTAAAATCGTTTTCCATTAGTCGTTTTGAAAAATCGTTTTCTTAACTTATGATCTGGGAAAAAATTGCATAATATTATAAAAGCAAACTTATCGATAATACAATTATATTGAACACCAGAAGTCCTGTTCGGAAGTCGAAAGTCTTGTTTTATAGAACAAGCTTAATTATTAAGAATTTAAGTGAGCCAAAAAATGGGTTGTATGAAAGCATTCAAAACATTTTTTGTGTGGCGCTTTAGTGGAATATGCCCACCCTACCTCAAGTTTTGCGCCGAAAAATTGGACAGAGGATTAATGATTTTTTAATTAGAATCCTATTTTGTCAGATTTAAGATAATCCTCTGGAAAATTTTGGTTTTAAATGTTCATTCAATTAAAATCTACAATTTTCCAAGAATCCTAAAATGTTCTCTGTAAACTGTAGAATATAAATATTTAATCTACCAATACATCCAATTAACTATTTAATATTTAATGTCTACATTTCGTAAACTAAAATAAATTTTGTATTCTATAGCCTGATCGTGGATCAAAGAGAGAATTGGGCCTTAATCGGTTAGAATTAGAAATAATAGCAAAACCTTCAACAGGAAAAATAAATCGATGATGTATTTTTTTGGAAATGAAACACAATACGAACTTTAACTAAGAAATTATGATTTTTTTTTCAGAAGGTACAAAGTTGTTGTTTGTTAAAATTGCATGATACTTTTTTCATGTAAAAAAATCCTTTTTTTGTTATCTTCGCGTGAAAGAAAATATTCAATTTAAATCTTCTAAAGAAAAAAATCTAAAATTCTTTAAACCTGATGGGGAAAGTTTTAAAATTCTGGACATTTTACAGATTTCACCACACATTACTAAAACCAAAAAATGTCGTCAATTATGAAGCAATTTTAATTTTGAAAAAATGTTAAGAAATAAAGACAGTAATTCATTTTAAGTTTTTGTCACCACCTCTGTTTTTCTAATCCTTATATCTTTGCAACCAATGTCGTAAACCTTAGATATTTCAAATCTTAAATTCGGTTGAACCCAATAACGAATGGAATAGAAAAGAATTTAACCATATAGGTTTGAAAGATAAATATGTATAGTGATGAGAAAATTTGAGTTTGTGATAAAGACTCAATTCCTTTACCTGTGTCGGATCTGCTATTATACTTGCGCATTCTGACACAGCACGCTTCCTCTTCTGTCGTGCAGACTCTGAGCGCGGCAAAAGCTCTGTTCCTTGCTCACAAATATCCTGTGCGCAGTCATCAACGTCTATGGCGATTTTAACGCTTCTCTGAACTGCGCCATCTTGTTTACAATCAGCTGTTTCTATTTTCTCGGCATGATTTAGTTCTTTGTTTGCGCTTGCAGGCTTGTTTGTTCCTGCCTGTTTAGTTGTACCAACCATCTTCCTGAGCACACTTATAACGTTCTTATTGTCGAGGACCATGGTGGATATGGGTGGAGGGACCTACATAAAGAGGGGAGATCTGTGGATTAACACGTGGCTTGAACTAGTCCGAAGGAATTAAACTGAGGAAGGGAGGGTTCAACTCCCGCCAAAAACCGGGGTCAGAGTGTAACTTCAAGACTGTTTGAGAGTAGGTTGGGATAGAATTCCTCCATCTTGAATTTTAGATTTAAGCTGACCTTGTTGTAGGTCGGAAGGTTCTCCGATGGTAGTTCGGAGTAGACTGTGAGGTTCGAAAGAGGAAAGGTCACAACTCCGGAGGCTTTCTCTATCGTGAATTCGATAAACACACAGGGCTGTTCAATAAAATTAATAATTTTTATCAAACATCACTAAAACTTGATACTCTTTTTAAAAGGATAAAACAATTTTTTTTGAAAGTTCGTACATGATGAAAGTATTGCGTCATCGGTAAAGTCGTCTTGATCATTCTGTTTTCACGAGGTAAACATGCATTGGACACAGGAGGCCAGTGGTCCAACCACTAAACCCAAAGAACAAACTATAAAAAACACAAAGGACAAGGAACAAAAGATAAAATGAAACCAGGCGCTAAAGGCCCCTCCTAGCCTGATTAAGGGGGGGGCATGTCCCTCCCTTAAGAAGAATTAAGCCCTCCCCTTTTAGGTGGGGGGGGGGGGGGGGGGGCGAGGGAAGAAGTCCACTTTAAGTTTCGCAATTTAGCGATTCATGAATCCTGACGGCCTGAGCAAATTTAAGAGCTCTGATCGTAAAATAAGAAAAAGTAATAATTGAACGTTAGTTTATTGAGCTTATAGTTCAATCCATACACCATATAGCACTTAATACACATACATAAAAATTAGAATATGAATGTTTTTCTTTTGCTTTTTTTAATTCGCGGGCTCAGAATAGATCTAAGTTTTTATTTCATATCAGATGTGTTTACTTACCAAAAAGCCTGTTGGTAAGGTTATTTTTTTATTTTTTGAGTATAATACACATTTTTCTTCCCCCCCCCACTAAAAATGCTCAGTGGGGGACGAAAAATATTTTCGCGCTTCGCGTTCTTTAAATCCTTTCTTTTTAGTTTATTCTAAAGTTACAAATATACGCTGTATAGTTGAAAACTGAGGACCCTTTGAAAAACAACTTTTCCCTAAAAGTTACACCCAGAACTGATAATTGCGAAATTTTTTTCAATTTTGCAAATTTCCTTTGAATTTGTTATTCAATATTTACAAAATTATAGAATTTTACAGAAATAGTATATATACACATTTTTGGAGAACCAATAAAGAATTCCAAAAAATATTGAAAAAAATTTGCACAAAAAATTATAATTTTGCATCAGACGCCGCTAATCACATTTTTTTTTGACTCACCCTGAATATATAACAATAATAGTGCTATAGTAATAATAATAATGAAAATAATAATAAATGATAATAATAATAATAATTAGTAGCGATCAAAATTTTCACCCATACCCATACCCCCCTTTTATTTCTCGCGAGCACTCACTTTAATCGTATAAATAATTGTCCATCATTTTAATTTAAGGGTTCCAAAGCACCAAACATAACATTCATAATTCTAAAAATATCAATTTTTTGTATGTTTTCTATGATAGGAATAGTATTTACAGGACGACATTTAACTTATTCTTATGAAGCAGCATTTTGGTTAAAAGGGAATGCTTTTGGGTTTCATACAATAAAATTATGACATTTCATGAACACACATGAAATAAATATTTAAGGATAAATAAACCCTATGAAGGAGGTCTGAATCTATGTAAAGACGTTCCATGCACCCCTACCCCTTAAAAAGGGTCTCCTTACGTTAAAACCTAAAAATACTAAAGCCTCTATATAGGTACACGCATACGCGTATTTCTAGGTATATTTGCGTACAAATTTGTATGCTTAACTTTTTGGTAAAGAACTTGCGTATATTTAAGTGTTTATCATACGTCAAACACTTTTTTTAAATGCTTAAGTTTTCCCAAAACGTATTTTTACGAAGAATTGCGTATACTTTTTACCAATTAAGTTTTTAAAAGTTTTTCGGTTTTTATTTTACGCATTTTTACGTATTTTTTTGGTTTTTCTTTACTAAAAAGTTTAACTGTTTAGAGTTTAAAAATACCTATATTTTCGTAAATATCATGCCAAATGATTTGTCCAAGTGTCAATGTATTCACGAAACCTCAACTGCAAAAAATCCATTTTTAAGTTAGAATTTAAAAATATTTGTTGATTTTTTAAGAAAATTGTTATGTAAGAAATTGAATGCAAACGTTTGGTAAATATAAAGTTTCAACATTTTGGAGTGAACTGATGTTTTTTTAGAATCAATTTCAGTAAATCTCGATTTTTTGATAAATATAAGTTCTACTTTGACAGTCTTAGAACAGGTATAATGGTAAGTGTATGACTATGAAGTATAACAGATATTGAGTATGTAATTATTGAAGATACACATAAAATGTGTGTACGTTTTTTAGATCGATAGAGATGAAGGAATGATGATGGTGTGAATTTGTGTAGAAGAATATTGAATTTAGTTTAATTGATATCTACGAATATATGTATTTAAACAAATAAAGGAATTAGTTGCATGATATAAAGGAACAATGTGAATGCAAATTTATATTTAACTTCATAAAATATTTGTTTTAGAACTTGAATATGCCTTAAAAACAGGTAAAACCTATAAATTCCAAAATCAGGAATTGTTTGGATTTTTTCAAAGCTGCAGATTCATTGTTTTTTTTAAGTTTCTACATACGCATTTTTACGTTTGTCATATACGTATTTTTACGGATATAAAATTCGTAATTTTCCCGAGGAAATGGTTACAAAAATATGTATGTCTTACATATGGAAAATACGTATGTTTACGTATTCCAAACCTATAAATACGTATATATATACGAATGGCATATACGTATTTATAGGTTTTCTGGCAGTAGGGCTTACATTACAGTATAGGGTTGCAATTCAATGCATGTTCAGAGCCACACTTTACAAGGCAAGCAAAAAAATTAAATATTAACTTTAACAGTTTAGAAGTATGGGCCGGGTGGTAGGAAATAATCGTTTTCAATTTTTTGAAAAACGAACGTTTCGTTTTGAGAACAACAAAGAAAAAAGAAAAAACGAAACGATGCTTTTTAAAAAAGATCTTTTTTCGTTTTATAAAATTGGTCGTTATTAAAACCAATCGTTTTTGAAAAAAACGTCCCATTATTAACGACCGTTTGGTGAAAAACAAAAAAATTGCAAAAAATCCTTGAAATTAATGTTCCTAGATAAGTAAAAAATCAAGGCGATAGTTTCAATACAGGGGGCGGAAACGTCATGGGGGTGTGTCTGTACCAAAAGAGTGTGTGTAAAGTTTACCGAACCAAAGGTGTGTACTGTAGGTATATACTGTACATACGAATCTCGGTATTTGTACAGTCTAGGAGAGTATATTTGTTTACTGTTAATTGTTTACTTAAAAACAAGTTTACTATACATGAAGTATATTATTTATATATTTAAGTCAACACTATAAGCCAAATTTTCATGCACATAATATTATTTGATTAAAGTTTACAATAAACTAGTCGTTATTCAAGCTTAATTATAATTGACAACATTGTTCTGTAATTTCCTTGACTGTAGTCATGTTGAGTGTCTGTACCAAAAGAGTGTGTGTAAAGTTTACTGAACTTGTCTGCAAAGCAGTGCGACTAGCTTTCTCATGTCAGACCAGCGCCATTTCCTTTCCCTTTATTCCTATTCCCTGGCAAAAAATAGTCTGTTTATGGTTTAGGAAAGCTTCCCTTTGAGAAGGAATTAGATTTATCAAACTATACAATTTTGATTTAAAATTCGTTTGCATAATATACATTTTTTAGATGCATTTTTGCATACATATTAGAAAGTTTTTTTTAAATTGCTTTGAGAACGGATCGGGCAGTATTTTTATTGTTTTCCTAAGTCTGAATTTCAACATTGTTTAGGTTTAAACAAAGAGAATAGAATATTCTATGCTCTTTGCTTTTATATCAGACACCAGATTTTTACTGGAGACCCCTAGCTGCACATTTTCATTGGAGATGGAGACCCCAAGCTTTTGATCTGATCAACCCCAGATTTTCAATGGAGACCCTAATCTTTTTATTGGAGACATTGACTTTTTGAACCCCGGTTTTCATGGGAAACATTTAGCTTTTTAGTGTAGATCTCAAACTTTTTGTTTTAAACCCCCACTTTTTATTGGAGATCTGGGAGTGCTTCAGTGTAAATCTGAAAATTTAAGGTTAAAACCAAAAGTTTGGGGTCTCCAATGAACATCTCGTGGTTGCTCAACCAAATATCTGGTAACAAGTTTGGGGTCTCTGAAGAAAAGTCTAGAACGTCTTTAATGGAAATCTTTTTGCTCCAATGAAAATCTGGGGTCTCGGTTAAAAATCTGGGGTCTCTATTGAAAATCTGGGGTCTCGGTTAAAAATCTGGGGTCTCTATTGAAAATCTGGGGTCTCGGTTAAAAATCTGGGGTCTCTATTGAAAATCTGAGCCCAAAATTTAAAAGAGTATCGTAGAACGAAACTCCCGAGTTTCCTTGTTGGGGTCTTAAATTTGTGTAGATTTTGATTTAAGAGATTCGAAAAAATGTAGAACATGAAGAAACTAAATAAAATTATATTTTTTAACAAAAATGTTGATATCAACAAAACTGCCTAACCCCATACGTGAAACCCGGGTTCTAAAACTGGTTTTCATGACGATAACCTGTCTCAAGTTTTGGGCTCTGGGGTCTATATTGAAAATCTGGGGTCTCGGTTAAAAATCTGGGGTCTCTATTGAAAATCTGGGGTCTCTATTGAAAATCTGGGGTCTCTATTGAAAATCTGGGGTCTCGATTGAAAATCTGGGGTCGATTTCCTTCAAAATATGTCAACGGCTCAATATCTTACTTTTGTTTACACGTTAAAACTGGTTTTAAACTATGCAATATGCAATTGCAGTACACAGTTCGGAAAAAATATGATCGAAAAGTATGAAAATCTAACAAGTGCAGTGCTCTACTAGGATGAGCTGTATATTGTGGTAAATTCAAGACAGTTGACATCAAGAAATATAAAGACCAGGAACCACCATATCCCATGTGTCAAATCCGTGTACTGCAGTGGGTGGGAGGAGATCAAAACGAAGAAATCAGTGGCAACGCATCATTTTCTAAACTGAAAGTGTTTCCCTGGAAAAAACGCCAATTTTT